TTGTGGAGGATGGCTGCTTATACTGAGCCAGGATTCTCTGGAGGTTTCTCCCTGTTAAAAGGGAGTTTTCCTCTCCACTGTCACTATATGCTTGCTTAGTATGAGGATTGCATCAAGTCACTGACACTAGTCAGTGACTTGATGCAATTTGCTGGGTTCCTTATATAGGAAACATTATTTCTGATTGGCTTAATGAACTGACCTGAATTGGAATGTTTATTATGTGAAGTGCCTTGAGACGACTCTTGTCATGATTTGGTGCTATATAAATAAACTTGAATTGAATTGAACTGAATTGAATTGAATTAAATTGAATTGATTTGAATTAAATTGAACTGAATTGAATTGATTTGAATTAAATTGAATTGATTTGAATTAAATTGAATTGAATTGAATTGAATTGATTTGAATTGATTTGAATTAAATTGAATTGAATTGAATTGAATTGATTTGAATTAAATTGAATTGATTTGAATTAAATTAAATTGAATTGAATTGAAACTGCTGCAGGAATCGGAGAGAAGTGTGTGGTGATGCATAGATAATAAGTATGTTTATAACTGGGGCTTAGCGATGTTAATGCTCTAACGTTAACAGCCAATAATATGGGTTAGTTTTTAAATGTGAGAGAGCGGTTCCTTGATGTTTCCTCTCCTGGTTGTAGTTCATCCCCATGCCTGTGCTCTACGGTGTCTTCCTCTACATGGGCGTGGCTTCTCTCAGTGGAATCCAGGTATGCTGCATGAGTCGGTGTGGGGGTGTGGTCACATGGTTCACCCTCAGAAGGCTTGTGCTTTCATAACTGTTGTTAACAGTAATTAGGTGGTTTTTGTGCATGTTTGTATTTTATCATGACAAATAACTAACTTTTGAGTTTATTCATGATGATTAACTACAAAACCATCAAGTCACTTTTAGACAAACGTAACAGTTAGTCAGACAACCTTAAAGAGGTCCTTCACTCATATTTATTGCATCTGCAGTGGTCTCTGAAAGGAATGAATGCCTTTAAGTCATACTCTGGGGGGAAAGAAAGCTCTGGTGCGCCTGTTTCAGCATGGAGAATTCAGCTGGAGGAGAATGTAGCTTCAAACGACTCTTCTTTCCTGATATGTGGACATCTCTCTTCCGATTGGCTAACAGCAACACGACTCAACCACTGACTCTGTTTTCCCTGCGAGGTTAATGTTTTATCTCCACAAATAACTCAAACCTGGAGGAGTTCTGCTGTGTGGTGGAGTTGCTAATGCTAATGGTTAGCTTCTGCTAGCCAGCATGTTCTCTGCTGTTTTCTGGACAATAAAACAGCAACAGCCGTTGTGCGTCAGATTGGGTGAGTCAAGTGACAGCTTCTCAAATCCTGGAGCTGTTTTCTGTCAGAAGTGGATGCAGGAGATGGATGTAGGAGACTATTCTCACGTTCACCTGCAAGAAAAGTCAGGAGTTTCTCAGTGACGGACGTCTTTAATATCAGTCAGATCAGTGGAAGAACGGAATGATCATCACAGACAGACTAAGTTTGATCACCTGAGCAGCTACTTGGATCACCAACCTGTCCTCAATAGCTGCAGCTGTAGCTCCCTACCTGTGAAAACATTTTACTGAACTGATGCCGAGATGCTCTAAAGGAAGTTCTACCTTGCTCTAATTCAAAGTCATCAAGAACGCCTCCTGCTCTGAACAAGAGCCAAACTCTAAGCAGAACATACAAAACAACAACAAACAGAACACTCCATACATGAAACTAGGTCTGATGGATGCAGCTGTTTAGTTGTTATTGTGGACTGTAGATTTTCCAACAGTTATGCTAGACCAGGAAGGGAAACCTAATGAAACATCATCCCCACCGAGAATCTCTCCCACTGCCATCGGAACGTGACGTTTGTCAGTTTCTCTTCTTTAAGATGCACGTAACCGTTTAAAATAATCTGACGTTAGCGCTTTTTAAACTGGGTTTGCATGTTTTACACGGACCTTTAGCACCGATGCTCTTCTTTTCTCCTCTGCAGTTCTGGGACAGGATCAAGTTGTATTTAATGCCGTCCAAGCACCAGCCTGACTTTGCCTATCTCCGCCACGTTCCTCTGAGGAGGGTACACCTGTTCACTCTCATACAGATTACCTGTCTGGCTGTGCTCTGGGTCCTTAAATCCACCTTCTTAGCCATTATATTCCCTGTTATGGTATGTGTGTTTCACAGTTTGCATGAATCAAATGAGCAGCAAACTAATTCAGCACTGGCTTAAATAATTTCAGTTTTCAAGAACAGGTCATTTGATTCAGTTTGATGAAACAGATATCAAAGGGGTTTAGCAGGTAGGCTGAGACGCATGCTTCAGCATCTGGGAAACTAGAGTTTGGTTTGCTTCTAGTGAAGAAAAATAATCAAAACGAAAATAGGCAGGAATTTTGTTTGCATATAATTTGTATTTTTAAGTACATTTGCCTTCCAGTCCATTCAAACCTTGGTCGTACCTTTGTTTTGTTGTTAAAAAAGATCTTTTCTCAAATAAAACACAGATCCTGGGTCTGATGGTGGTACGAAAGATGCTGGACATGGTCTTCTCCCAGCATGACCTGGCCTGGTTGGACGACCTCCTGCCCGAGAAAGAGAAGAAGAAAGATGAGGACAAGAAGAAGAGGAAGGAAAAAGAGAAGGATAAGAAGAAAGCCAAAGAAGACGACAGTGAGGACGAGGTGAGAAACGTAAGCCTTTGCTGCCCCCTGCTGGAATATTGGATCCTGAATTGGTGTCTGCTGTGAACATGTGTGGATGCTTTTTCATAGGACAAGTACCATGGTTACCCAAACCACTCCCCCAGCTCAGAGTCAGACGTGGATCGCAGGTACTGTGTTCTAAAACTGCACATCCCCTACAAAGATCTCGCGTACCCTGATGTAGTCCAGTCTCGGTGGGGAGTCGACTTCCAGCCTGCACCCTAACACACACCTGCCTGCTCACCAGATCATTCACGAAATGTGCACAAGGGTCTGCTCATAAACATTCACACAACAATAAATGTTTTATTCTTAGTCATCAGCGTATTATTTAGTTATATTGTTGATTTTACATCACTGCCGCTTCAGCCCGACTTCCCAAACGCTCATTTCCCACCACTGTTCTGTAGTTTATCCATCTAACGCTCCTCTTCTGGTCCTTCTGTAGCTCACATCAACTTTTAGTTCATGGTTTAGCTCTGCAGCTCATGTCCTGCTGGGTTTGTCAAAACGTTCGTCCCACAAGAGACTATGGGAGTGTAGAAGCTATTTTACATAAGCTGACTCATAGATGACATTAGTAAAGCGTGTGTCAGTTTAAGGCTACATTTAGTTTTTGGTTTTTAACTCATAATATATATTTACATGTGTTTAGTGGGGCTGCACAGTGGTTAGCACTGGCACCTTGCAGCAAGAAGGTCCCTTTTTCAAATCGCAGGTACTTTTACATTTTCTCCCATTTCCAGTCCCTTTTCCGGCTCTCTCCGGGTACCTCAGCCTCCTCCTGCAGTCCAAAAACATGACTGTCAGGTTGATTGGTCTTATTGGTCTTTCTAAAATTGTCCTCAGGTGTGCGTGCGTGCGTGCGTGCGTGTGTGTGTGTGTGTGTGCGTGCGTGCGTGCGTGTGTGTGTGCGTGTGTGTGTGTGCGTGCGTGCGTGTGTGTGTGTTGCCCTGTGATGGACTGACGACCTGCCCAGGGTGTACCCTGCCTGTTTGCCCAGAGACTGCTTTGGTGTTTAATTTTCTGCTCTGTAATTTTACATCAAAGTTTTTCACATTCACATACGTAGTTTTATTCAAACTAAACTAATCTCTATTCTTATTCACTTTTGACAAAATGTGAGAAGCGATTTTTAGAAATGTTGTGTGGTATTTGTGTGAACTGACCCCTGAATGAAAGATCTCACAGCAAACAGCTGCCACGACTCGGCGTTCCTTCCAGAATGTTGCATTTTCCCAGATCAGCAGATATTGAACTCTGTTGCTGAAACCGACTTAGCAAGTAAGTGGAGGTCGCTGTTGATTTTAAATGTTTGCATTAGGGATGCAGGTGGTGCATTTACACAACATGGTTACATGTTTCCTCTGGGTCACACTTGGCCTCTCCGTGCACCTTAAGGCAATGCAGATGATTGTGATAAGCCTGTGTGACAGTTTGTGCACACGTCTCCACTGATGTCTTCTGAAAAGGCATCTTTCTGTGATGTTAGAGGAAGAGAATGTGAAATGCTCAGTAGTTTTTGGTGTCTCGGAAAGCCGTGCACTCATCCTTACTGCTTGTGTGATTCAACATGTTGGATTTCGGTGAATGATAGGATGATGCCTTTGTGGTTTTGTGTTGTTAGATGATTTCATATTAAAATGCAGCAAATTGGTTGTTTCTTTTTCCTCTTTGTGCTCTTTCACACACCACTCACACCTACATGGGAAGCTCAGCGTCTTTGTGAGCCAGCCTTGAATTTCACCTGCTGCATTTTTTCATTGTGCACCAGAATTTAGTTGTAATATTAACAAGTTTAATCGTTGTCCTTTGCTGGAGGTTTAGATCTGAAACACTTCCCTGCATGTCTGCATTGCTGTGAAAAGAGCATGGTTGGGTTTAGGCAGGGTGTGTAGAAGCTGATGAGTAGAAGGCAGGTTTCTACTGTGCAACATGAGAACTTTTGGCTTCATCAGACTGTTTACAGTCACAAAGTCCTCCAGTATGAGGTGCTGTTGCACCACAGCCTGGTTCACCCTTTACAGCTTGAAAGGTGAAACAATATTTACAATTTTTTGTTTATTTTTATTGAGCTATTGGTCTAATAATAATATAAGTTATATACTTACCTGTTTAATTTATTCTGTGGTTCTGTAACAACATTATAGAAACAATGAAGATCCTCCACCAGAGGGCAGTAGGCCAGTGGGTAGGCAATTCTGTTCAAGTGCCACTATCTGGCATGTTTTGGGTGTTTCCCTGCTCCATCACACCTAATTCAATGGTTGAATCACCTGTTCAGCAGGTTCAGGCATGTTTGAGCAGGGTAACAGCTAAAACATGGTGGATAATGGCACTCAAGGACCAGGATTGCCTATCCGTCATACACCATTTAGGTGCTTGAGGCTAGAAGCCGTGTGATAAGTTTGTGACTAAATCTACAAGGAGTTAATCGTGGATTAGAGCTATTGGTTGAGTTGTGGTATCTCATGGCCAAGCTCCCCAGCCCCATTAGCTCCTTGGTTGGTGTTTTTTGTCCTGTGGGTGTGTCGTAACTGGAGCTTGCCCTTCCTCAGCATCACCGTCCATTTGAAGATCTCCTGCCCGTCATCTCCAGCTATGCCTATGGGCAGAGGGATGGCCTGCCCCGTGCCCCAGGTCAAGATCGAGATGGAGTCGGACTACGACTCAGACCTAGACCACCACCGGGTCCGGGACATGAGCAGTGAGACCACCTTGTGAGATGCTGGACATAGGTTCTTGTGGACTGAGTGATATCAAGCTGCCCAGGACAGAGATCTAAATACTGAAGTGAAAACTGAGGTTGTCAGGTTAAAATGATGGTTTTTAAAACTAGTGTCATCAGTGCAGTATGTTAAAACTGCCAAATATGACCTGATCATGAATGAACACCATTTTGAGATTACTCACTGCTAGCTACACATGAACAGTGTAATAAAACTTAACCAAACCCAGATTTCGCTGTACAGTAACTTCATGGAAGTTTGTTTGTATAAAGACATATTTTAATGAAGCTATTTAAAGAAAAGTTTCCTTTTGTAACTGGAACTGATATTTGTGAAGTTATAAGAAGCAGTGCTTTCTGTATGTGTGTGTGTGTGTGTGTGTGTGTGTGTGTGTGTGTGTATATATAGTATATATTAGTATAAGTGTGTGTGTTAGGTGTCTGCTGTGTTGTCCATCTGTCTCACCGATCATAATTTCCCAGTTCAGGGCTAACCCTAACCCTAACCCCAACCCCAGCTCAAACTTCCCTATTGGCAAATTGACTATAAACAAAAAGAAACAACCAAAAGGCGCTGGCATTTTTTCTTTCTGAAGTAACAATTGAATAGCTGAATCTAACAGGTTTAGATTTGAGCTCTTACTTTGAAATTCTGTTTATGAACATGCTCTGTATGAAAACTGTGAACCTATAAGAATGTACGTTTTTATGAGACGAAAGAACCAGATTCATTAAACCTTCATTAATCCAAACTGTGGCTTAGGAGACTTTTTTCATCACATGTTGGAGCAGAGAAATGTGCCGCTCTCTAGCCCCTGCCGACAGCTGAAGGGAATGATGGACGGTTGTTCAGAGCAGCTCTGGAAGTTCACTCTTTCATTGGGAGGATCGAGGACTCAGGCAGAATGCAGACGTAATTCTGACTGTCAAGAATCCACTGAGGCGCTGAACCAGACTTCTGCATGAGTCACATTTTACTAACCTGCACCCGTGAAGATTTCAATTCAGTTTATTTAGAGTCATCTCGAGGCACTTTACAGAGTTAACATTCCACTTGAACCTACTCATCGGTGCACCGAGTTCAGCTCATGAAGCCGGTTTTCCAACCCGATCCGGGACCCATTCTTATCGTCCAATCAAATTCGGCCCCCAGACACGATTTCACGATCATGTGATTTTCATTTTTTACTGACCATTCCAAAGTTCTGCCACGTCGGACTTGGCCTCACTAGTGCTGTCCACGATATGGTTTTCATCTCTATTCAGTTTGTTTTGTGTGGTCCATTTCAATGTTCTTTTGCAAGCTAACATCTTTAAAACTGAACTTGTCCAACTCTGTGGGAGGAGCTTCACGGATAAGTTGGGACTTTTACCTGAATTAAAATTGAATTGAGTACATATTTTCTCACCTGCAAGAAAGGAACCTTCGACCAGACCCATGCTTGTAAAACAAATGTATTTTTCCACCAGTGGAACCACTTTTACACAGTTCACCCGTCCTGTTGCAGGACTGCACAGAAACCATATCATCATCATCTTCAATGAACTTAACAGACTGGAAGGACGTGATGTGCCAGAGAGACGCTAGAGTAAAAACCACAACAGCACAAAATCTGTTCCAAATTGGAGCACACTAAAACCACACCACGACAGGTTAAACAGCTTTCTACAGCTCCACGGCAGCAGCAGGCTGTCATGTCAACACACATGTAGTATTCAACAATCCATCTGTGTGTTTTGTGAAGCCATCAGCGAAGCCCTCTCCCTCCACCAGCGAAGGCCTCCTGTTGCACATGGGGCACAGTCTGTTGCGTTCTTGTGAGGCTCTCATCCAAACGACGAGGTTCCAGCGCTGACCACCAGAAACTGGCAGGGCCCCGTGCATGTGTTGGCCTCGATGGAGAAGTCCTGTCGTGACCTCGTGTTCAACCTCCGTGCACTCCGTCTCAGATATGGGCACCTGTGGGACACAGCACAACCACAACCGTCAAGATCAGACAAAACCTCACACGTAGCCAGCTCCTCTGACATTAGTCTGAAACTTTTTACCGTGGCTTCACCTGTCTCATGTCACCGAAGTAAAGGTTGCCATCGGTGAACTCTTTGCCGAGGGACACGTTAAGGGTGATCTCTGCATTGTCATAATGGTAACTCAGGTCCAGGTCTTCCTTCAAGGCATATTTGACCACGAAGGCCTTGTGGCTATCTAAAGAGTGACCCCCACAATCTGGGTAAAGCAGTGAGGTGATTGGCTGCAAGTACTGCTCACGAAGAGGAGTCACGAAGCCCTCGTCAAAGCCCAGCTCGTTGAGAGGGATCTGTGGAGGAAAAATTAGACACAAAAAAAAAAACTAGTTTCCTAAAGAGATGCAAGTTTTCATTACTCAAATGGCTTCAGGACGTATTTCTTGGTGCTTGTTTTCTACATATAAATAAATAAAAGGGGTCGCTTGCTCCTGCCTGCTGCAACCTCTAAACCAGGAGTCTCCAACACGTCGCTCGCAAACTACCAGCAGCTCCCGACTTGAAAGTCACTCGCCAGCGAGTCATCCCGCCTGACTTCAAAAAGAACCACTTACTTTAACAAGCAAGCTGTCCCGTTTTCTGTTAAATCCAATCTAGAATTAGCTTTTTGTGGGAGTAAAATAAAAACCTGACTACTGCACTAATCTTTCAGCAAACGTTCAAGTCTGTACTAGTGGAAATACGCAGATTCATTGTGAGGGGTTACCGCAGCACGCGAACGCAGCTGGAGCCGTTGCTGGGGTAATGCCGGTTACACAAATCTGGCCTAGGTTTAAGAAGTCCGATGTTGAGCAGAAAAATATCCTCATTGAAATACTCTGCGCAACAATATTGTCCTATCTGCATGTTAATGCAGGTTAAATGCTGTTGGTTTATTAAGGCATGATGAACACAGGCTTCCACACCTTCTGGACATCTTCTGTGGTTTAGTTTCAGCTGATTGTCCCATTTAGTAACGACTGTGAGACCTCTCTCTCTCTCTCTCCCACTCGTTTGATCCAGAGGCAGAGAAAATGGATAAACCTCTAACCTTATTTTAATATTGTCAACAAAAACACAGCAAAGCATTGTTCCACCTGCAGTTATTCACTAGAGAATAAAACTTAATTTTCATATCCAAAAAAACTCCATAAAATTATTCAATGAATCAGGAAAGCAAGAAGAAATGTTTTTTTTTACTTCAGTTCAAACTATTTAGTTTTGTGTTTTCATCACATTTAGCTTGTGTTTTATTTAAAGTATCTCCAGCTTTATTCCTCTAATGAGGATTTTTGTGTTGCATTGATTGGAAAATTTACCTCCTGGGACCCAAACTTGTATTTGGAGAGATTTAAAAGCAAAAACATTTCTAGCCGTTAGATTAGTCGACTGTAATTAATGGAAACAAAATTACAAAAATTAAAATACAATAAAAAAAATTTTAAATAGAAATGTTGTCAATATCCCCCCAAAAAATGAAGAAAGACAACAAAAAATAATTAAGATTAAAATATCAAGTGTCTATAAATAATAACAAAAAGGTCCAAGTAGATGAGAAAAGAAGCCAATGTCCACTTATGTGGACACGGCCCCAGGAGGAAAATGTTCACATGACATTCTGTAGATTTTGGGAGTGTTTGTTCATTTGTGACAAGATAGCTGACCGCTATGAAAAACTGACATTGCTGCTTATGGCAGGAACCGAACAGGAACAGGTTAGCTGTAAAGTGATGTTACGGATCCGTTCTAAAATAAACGTCTAGATTTGTATTTGATCATCTGAAAGTATCCGACTAGTTAAAAAACCGAATATGTTCCATTTAGTTTGAGTTTCTAAACAGGAATGTCGCTATTTGCATCGACGTACTGAAATACGGAGAAATCAGCTTGTGAATACGACGTTAACATAAGCTGTACGTTCTTCGTTAACTTTGTGGAGCACATCGCTGCGTACATATTAATCACATCCACACGTGGAAAGTATCAGTGTAATAAATCGTAAGGCAGTGGCTCTTCTGTACTTTCTTTGTGTACGACTCCCATCTACCTGAATCCTCTTGCAAAGGCTTACGACTCGGCCCGGCCGCTCCGGTCATCACAGGATCGTCGGCTAGCAGTGCCTACACCACGCTCAGGGCAATCCAGACTCTTCTCATGCATCGTTCCACAAATGTGGAATGACCTTCCAAGCACTACCAGAACAGGAGCTTCCTTTTCAATTTTCAAGAAACTCCTGAAGACCCTGCTCTTCAGAGAGCATCTTCTAAACTAGCACCCTCCCTGCACCCGTCCCCCCTCTCTACCGTCCACTCCTTGTTCCCTACTCTCCATGACTGATGTCAATGATTGTTGTTGTTAGCCTCAAGGGCAACATGCCGATTATCACTTGTAAGTCGCTTTGGACAAAAGCGTCTGCTAAATACATAAACATAAAAGTAGCTAATGGGACGTAAAGGTTGGAGACCCCTAACCTAGACCTTCTGCGTGAGGTCCCACAGGACCCCAATCCCATCACAAGGCTCTACCATGGACTCTGTTACTATTTAAAACCACGTATTGCATTTCATTTTTAAAGTATGAATTATTCCTGACTGACATAAACATTCAAAGAAACCCCTGCCTGTGCCTGCTAATTCTAATTTTACATTTAATAATGTATCCACGGTAAGTCAACACACCGAATGATGACACAAGAACACATGCATGTTAGTAACTGAAACATGACCACTTTTTCAGAAACTTTAACCGGTTTAATAAGCAGTGTATTACCCCATAGTGGTTCATGGTGTTGGGCCTTCCTTTAGGGGCTGATGACTGCTCAAAGTGTTCCAGCTCCTCAACCAACTCTTCACAGAAGTGTTTCTCAAACACAGGTAAACGATACACCCTTGGAGCTTCAACAGAAATGGAGATTAGTGTGAATATATGGCTGGCTTACTGGAAAAGTCTGCACATTAAGTTAAGGCAGCACAATATATCGATACAAACAACAACAGAGGCAATAGAGGTGCTAGTCAGAACATTAGAATATCAGGACAAAGTTGGTTTATTTCAGTTATTCCATTCAAACAGTGAAACTTGTATATTAGATTCATTCATTACACACAGACTGATATATTTCAAATGTTTATTTTTTTCATTTGATGATTATAATGGACAACTAATGAAAATCCCAAAATCATCATCTCAGAATATTAGAATATTGTGAAAAGGTTCAATATTGAAGACCCCTGGTGCCACAGCTAATTAACTCAGAATGCCGGTAAAAGCCTTTACATGGTTTCTCAGTCTAGTTCTGTAGGCTACTCAATCATGGAGAAGACTGCTGACTTGACAATTGTCAAAAAGACGACCACTGACACCTTGCACAAGGAGGGCAAGACACTCTCCATCCCCCCATCATCGTTGACTATGGCTTTTGTATTTTTACTGTATGGTTTTTAATTATTTTTACTTGTACTTTTCTATTTATTTTTTATCTACCATGTTGTTTTTATCCTTGTGTTTATGTGCTGTCCAGCACCTTGGGCCTCCAATAAGGTGGTGGCAGGTGCTATATAGATGCTATATATATATATAAATCTGATTGAGTGATTATCTTATTTTTATCTTGTATGTTTTAATCTCATCTGTTTTGCTTTGGCGTAAAGCTAACTGTGTGTCTGTTGCTGCTGCCTCTTGGCCAGATCGTCGTAAATGAGAATGAGTTCTCAGTCGACTCATCTGGTTAAATAAATAAAATTAAAATAAAGTTTCCACAGTCAGTGACGGTGTGGGGTAGGGCTGGGTGACATGGCCTAAAATCAATATCACGATATATTGAGGATTTCACCTTGACAACGATAAATGGATGATAACTACAGGTATGTGCAGAAGCAAAAGTTGTCCTGAATGTTACCAATCTACACACATCTTTTCATTTTTTTATTATCAAATTTACTGACATGAGAAAAATTATCTTGATAAGAGTCAGAAATTTGGATAACTATAAATGTTCGATTTATTGCCCAGCCCTAGTTTGGGGTGCTGCGTCATCTGCTGGTGTTGGTCCATTGTGTTTCCTGACATCAACGTAGCCGTCTACCAGGAAGTTTTAAAGCACTTCATACTTCCTGCTGCTGACCAACTTTATAGAGATGCAGATCTCATTTTCCAACAGGACTTGGCTCCTGCACGCTGTGCCGAAGCTACCTGGTTTAAGGACCATGGTATCCCTGTTCTTGATTGGGCAGCAAACTCACCTGACCCTAACCCTATAGAAAATTTGTTGTAAAGAGGAAGATGCAATACACCAGACCCAACAGTTCAGAAGAGCTGAAGGCCGCTATCAGAGCAACACGGGCTCTCATAACACCTGAGCAGCGCCACAGACTGATGGACTCCATACCACCCCGCGTTGCCGCAGTAACACAGGCCAAAGGAGCCCCAGATAAATATTATGTGCTGTACATGCTCGTACTTTCCATGTTCAAACTTTCAGCTAGTCAACATTTCTAAAATTAATTTTATTGCATTGGTCTTAATTGATATTCTAATATTCTAGCATATTGAATTTCATTAGTTTTCAGTTATAATCATCAAAATTAAAGAAATTAACATTTGAAATATATCAGTCTGTGTGTAATAAATGAATCTAATAAACAAGTTGTGATAGTCTAATTTTACGACCAGCCCCTGTCGTTCGTATTATGTGTCACAATTTAACAAAAACTGCAAAACTAAAGAATTGTCTTATAAAAAACTAATTCTATCAGAATCAAGGGGAGTAATTACAGCTCGACTTTCCCAATCAAATGTAAGACTTAGTCAGGTGGAATGTGTTAACTTATTTCCACCACCAGAGGGAGTCCGATCTTTTATTAATTTGCCGTAGAAGAGCTGACGGCGCTCTCGGGCTCACCTGCCACTTTCAACAATAATAAGAGGCCTTCTTTGTTGGCATTCCTGCTTCGACAATACTCCACAAGCTGCTTGAATTCTGAAGTGAGGTAGGTCTCCTGAGGAGAGGTGGCATGCAGGTGAGGTCTCAGCAAGATGCTAATGGTACATCATTAACAGGGCTATCAGCAGGAACTAAGTACCTGCAGACGGTAGACGTGATGATGGAGAGGCTGGTACATGCGCTTTATTGCAGCAGCTCGCTCAGCAGATGTGACGGCTAGCTGTCTTCGTCTGTCCACTTCCTGGGAAACCTAAGCAGGACAGTCATTCAGTGAAGGCAGCGTAAATGTCAAATAGATATTTCTCACTTCTCAATCACAACTCCATCAGCTCAAGTTTATTTTGTCTGCTTTCCATCTGCACACTTAGAATTCCAGGTCCTGATCCTAATCTGGATCATAATATCCTAACTAATATTTCAACTGGAGCAGCTGATGTTATTCTTTAGGTGTTGTGGCTAATCTGATCTGGGCCCTTTACACATTGTTTTCTTACTGATCCATGTGAGAGAAGAGTCCAGGGCCATCACCTAGCCACCGTACTTATGCACAGGTCTGTACATTTTTCTTGCACAGGAACAATTTTACACACAGTGCTGCATTTATCATCTTGTACTTGTCCCTGATCATGAGAACGGATCTGGCCACATGTACTAACAGCATCTAGTGGTCGAACAAGGGAGCAGCAATACTGAAGGACTCAAGTCATCCACACGTGTTCCTAATCCATAAATCATTTTACACAATAAGTAGTTATGTCTGTGTCGCACAATTGGTGTTTGAACCTAAAAAACACACACGGCTGATCTGGGGTTATTGAAAGATTTGGCAGAGCGTTGTACTTCTGAGGCTATGCGTCTTCAATCCAAGGTGACCAGATATTGCTTCCTGAAGGAAGTCTTTCTGGAGCTATGCCGTGATTTGGGAACCTTTGTGCATTGACAGACAAACTGCACAAATCTGATTTCAGTCCATTATCAGTTACTGACAACTTTAGGATTTTTTTTCCACCAGGACCTTCAAGCGTGAGACAGCAGACAGATCAGGCATCAGCCATCGATGCAACATTAGGTTCATTACAATATGGCGCACAGGAGGTGGTACACAATTCAGTTCCGCAAAGCAACACGCGCCATGGTATCTCAATGAGCTAGTTCAATCCATTCTATATGGACTGAAATGAAGAGACAACGTTGGATGGGTGGATTTGATCCTCAGGTACTAATCAGAATCAGTTCAGGTGCAAACACAACACAGAGTCATGTGACTGGAACAAAGCTGCTGGAGTGGGCAGGTCTACGACTGTCGTTCATGAGTCCGACCGCAGAGGAGGAAGAAACTTTTTGTGGCAAGAAGTTCTGGTACGAATGGATCGGAGACTCCTGCCAGATGGGAGCGAGTCGAAGAGACCATGGTATCTGACCCTAACCCTATAGATGACACGGGTCAGCTGTTATCCAATCTGCATGCCTCAATGTCCTGGAGGTGTACAGGTCCTGTATGAAGGGGCGTTTGCAGCCAATGACCTTCTCAACAGAGCGTACAACATGCTGCGGCCTCTTCTTGTCCCTGGTGGTAGCTCCAGCATACCACATGGTTATTGAGGAGGTGAGGATGGACTTGATGACTACGGTGTAGAACTGCTTCATCTACTGTACTGGTGAGGTTGAATTTCTTCAGCTGCTTCAGGAAGTTCATCCTCTGCTGGGCCTTTGTTATGACGGAGGTGATGGTGGGCTCCCATTTGAGGTCCTGGACGATGGTGGTAGCCAGGAAGCGACATGAGTCCACCAATGTGATGGGAGTGTCAGACAGGGTTATTGGGGGGGGGGGGGGGGGGGTGCGCTTCCTCAAGTCCACAACAATCTTCTGAGTATTTAGCACCAGCTTGCTGCGGCTGCACCAGGACACCAGTCATTCCTCCATTCTGTAGGCCGACTCATCCCCGTCAGAGATGAGTCCGATGATGGTGGTGTCGTCTGCAAACTTGATCATCTCTACAGACTCATGGTTGGAGGTGCAGCCATTGGTGTAGAGGGAGAAGAGCAGAGGGGAAAGAACACAACCCTGAGGGGAACTGGTGCTGGTTGTTCACAGGTCCGAGAAATCTTTCCCCAGCCTTACTTGCTGCTTCCTGTCCATCAGGAAGTCAGTGATCCACCTTCAGATGGGGTCAGGCACATTCATATGGAACAGTGTGACTTGGAGGTCTGGGAGGATTATGTTGAAGGCAGAGCTGAAGTCCACGAACAGGATCCTGACGTAGGTACACGGGGAGTCCAGGTGCTGCAGGATGAAGTGTAGAGCCATGCTGATGGCATCATCTACAGACCTGTTGGCTCTGTAGGCAAACTGCAGGGGGTCCAGGATCAGGAGGGGGGGCTGTGAGGGTGTTGAGGTGGGGGAGAACCAGGTGCTCCAGTAACTCATGACCTGAGATGTCAGAGCCACAGGTCTGTAGTCACAGAGTCCAGTGATCCTTGGCTTCTTGCAGACAGGACCATGGTTCCTCAGCAGACATATAACGGGTCAATAGAACTTCGACATAAAGGACAGGTGAAGAGCCACACGGCAGCAAGATGAATACGCTGCTAATGGCTAATGTTTGTGTAGCTTTAGCCCTCCGCTGCAGGTCACAAGTTATATGGCTGATAAAAGTAGAAAAAGTTGAGGACACGGCGAATGGCATCATTCAAAATAAAGGACCGAATAGGTCAGTCTTGTGGATGTAGAGGAGAGCGAGTCTGAAGAGATTGACCTCAAACATCATGCATGTAACATGTATTTCACTCCTCTACACCACATACTCCTGAACTTGAAGACAAAGTCCAGACTTAACGCACATAGATCTCAGCAGACTAAACAAATCAATCCCTACACAACAGATTGCTACAACAAGAATTTAAATTTATTTTCTTTGAGAATAAATCATGTAATGTTATTTTTGATGTTTTACCTTTTTGAGTACATCTTCAAACTGCTGGTCCAAGACGCAGCCAAGTCTTAGAAGCAACTGAAATAAGAGATCAAACATAAGCAGACATGCTGTGCACCACTGGGCGCAGTTTAAATTTTTAATATTTGCTTTTAAAGCTCTGCTTGGTCTTGCTCCCCTCTACCAAACAGAGCTACTCTCATACATCCTCTCCAGGTCACTAAGGTCTGCTGATCAACAACTCCTCCGTGCTCCTAAAATGAGCTATAAAGCTCAGGGACAGCGTGCGTTTGCGTACACTGCACCGAAACTGTGGAAAGCACTCCTGCTGTCCGTGCGCCAGTCTCATTCACTGGTGCAATACAAATGTAGCCTGGAGACTCATTTTTCATCTAGCTTTTGGCTGATGAGCGTGTTCTTGTGCTGCATTTTAGTTATTTCTGGTCTTAAATTTTTGATCTCATCGGTTTTTCTGACAGTTAAACCTGCACTCTCTGTATGAAAGTGAATCTCAATCCTGTGGTTTTATGTCCAAGTTTTTACTCTTTGCAGCACTTTGGTCAGCTGATACGCCTTTTTTAAATGTGCATTTACAAATAAATATGGTATGGTGGAGTGCAGAGGTGTGGACTCGAGTCACATGACTTGGACTTGACTCGAGACTTGACTCGAAAGACTTGTGACTTAGGCCCAATCTCAATATTCACACTGCACCCTGCAGACATAAGCAAAGTGCACTTGGAGAAAGTGCCCAGTAGGGTTCGAGTGCGTAGTACATAGTAAGTGTGCGAAAAAAAGCCGAATTGAGACAGCGAGCACTGCGTCATCGATCGCAATGCATGCCGGGATGTTGGTCACTGTAAAACTTTCAAACAAACAATAAGACAATTACTTGAAATTAATTTAATGTCATTGCTGCTTTGTCTAAAACATTCAGAGCACCAACTAATCGTCCTAAAATAAACTAATTTCATTAGAAAATACATATTTTCAGAAAAGGAACTTGAGCCTTTCCTCCTGCAGCAATGACTTGTGGGTAATACTCTTGCCCGAGGTCCGCATCGCTGCGGACTCGGGTGAAGTGAAGATTAATGGGCTCGACACACGGGAGGCGACATCGCCTCTCCTCCATTCATTTTCAATGAGACATGCGCGACAAAGCGATAATCACGGGTCTCCCTCCTACACAGCGAAACGTGGAAAAAGTGCGTATGAAACTTTGCGCTCGTGCATGTGTCGTGCACAGGCGACCCTGCGACGTGAGCCCAGAAAGTTTAAATATTTTCAACTTTTCATCGCCGTCGCTCAGACGAGGACCAATCAATGGAGGTGTCATTCACTGACCAATGAGCGGACAGGATGCTCCATAAATCTCCGAGCAAACATGGAGGAGAAGTTGATACTTGCTGTGACGGATTTCCCAGCACTGTACAATATTTCTACCAAAGAATATAGAGGTATTTACAAAAAGGCCGCATAACTCTAGCAGCACTTTGTGAAAAATCATATCTACCATTATTTTAACTCTAAATCGCTTAACGCTTCTACTGCGGTTGTGTCGGCGCAGACACAAAACGGCTTCCATACTTTGAACTACCGTAACTCTTCAAACGTTTACGCACTCAACGTAATTCCAACGGATTCTGAAAGCTGAGCCTCTACGCTTTCCAGTGGTATACAACACATTACGGTAATGTTACGCAAGTCCCTGCCCAAGAACCATGAAATGATCACACTTCCTCGAGGAGAGGAGGAATTGTTTTTGACGCATATTTTCAACTTCTGTCCCTTCTACTGATATAAATAATAAATATTTTCGGTAAATACAATGGGGCAAAAAAGTATTTAGTCAGCCACCGATTGTGCAAGTTCTCCCACTTAAAATGATGACAGAGGTCAGTAATTTACATCATAGGTACACTTCAACTGCGAGAGACAGAATGTGAAAAAAAAAATCCATGAACTCACATGGTAGGATTTTTAAAGAATTTATTTGTAAATCAGGGTGGAAAATAAGTATTTGGTCACTTCAAACAAGGAAAATCTCTGGCTCTCACAGACCTGTAACGTCTTCTTTAAGAAGATTTTCTGTCCTCCACTCGTTACCTGTATTAATGGCACCTGTTTGAACTCATTATCTGTATAAAAGACACCTGTCCACAGCCTCAAACAGTCAGACTCCAAACTCCACTATGGCCAAGACCAAAGAGCTTTCGAAGGACACCAGGAAAAGAATTGTAGACCTGCACCAGACAGGGAAGAGTGAATCTACAATAGGCAAGCAGCTTGGTGTGAAAAAAATCAACTGTGGGAGCAATTATCAGAACATGGAAGACATACAAGACCACTGATAATCTCCCTCGATCTGGGGCTCCACGCAAGATCTCATCCCGTGGGGTCAAAATGATCATGAAAACGGTGAGCAAGAATCCCAGAACCACACGGGGGGACCTGGTGAATGACCTGCAGAGAGCTGGGACCACAGTAACAAAGGTCACCATCAGTAACACACTACAACTGCAGGGAATCAAATCCTGCAGTGCCAGACGTGTTCTGCTGCTGAAGCCAGTGCATGTCCAGGCCCGTCTGAAGTTTGCCAGAGAGCACATGGATGATACAGCAGAGGATTGGGAGAATGGCATGTGGTCAGATGAAACCAAAGTAGAACTTTTTGGTATAAACTCAACTCGTCGTGTTTGGAGGAAGAAGAATACTGAGTTGCATCCCAAGAACACCTTACCTACTGTGAAGCATGGGGGTGGGAACATCATGCTTTGGGGCTGTTTTTCTGCTAAGGGGACAGGACAACTGATCCGTGTTAAGGACAGAATGAATGGGGCCATGTATCGTGAGATTCTGAGCCAAAACCTCCTTCCATCAGTGAGAGCTTTGAAGATGAAACGTGGCTGGGTCTTCCAACACGACAATGATCCCAAACACACCGCCCGGGCAACAAAGGAGTGGCTCCGTAAGAAGCATTTGAAAGTCCTGGAGTGGCCTAGCCAGTCTCCAGACCTCAACCCCATAGAAAATCTGTGGAGGGAGTTGAAAGTCCGTGTTGCTCGGCGACAGCCCCAAAACATCACTGCTCTCAAGAAGATCTGCATGGAGGAATGGGCCAAAATACCAGCTACTGTGTGTGCAAACCTGGTAAAGACCTATAGTAATCGTTTGACCTCTGTTATTGCCAACAAAGGTTATGTTACAAAGTATTGAGTTGAATTTTTGTTATTGACCAAATACTTATTTTCCACCCTGATTTACAAATAAATTCTTTAAAAATCCTGCCATGTAAATTCATGGATTTTTTTTCACATTCTGTCTCTCACAGTTGAAGTGTAACTATGATGAAAATTACTGACCTCTGTCATCATTTTAAGTGGGAGAACTTGCACAATCGGTGGCTGACTAAATACTTTTTTTGCCCCACTGTATGTTTCAGGGGCGGCTCACTAACCTGGCTCTGATTAGTATCAATCTCTCAGTAGGGGAGCAGATTTCATATGACATTATTGATGACTTTGCATCAAGGTTAGGTTTTAATTTTAGTTTGTGTTTTCTATTCTAAGTGCAATGCTGTAGTGATTATCTTTAGTTTGTTATGTGTGAAATATTTTTGCTATTTAGAATATTTATTATATATATATTGTTCATATATTCTTAATATTTAGTTAGTTTAGTTGTTTTTGTATATTTGAGTCTATATATTTTGATACAGTATATAATGTATATTGCTTTACATTCTGACAACTTCATAGTAATTAATGTAAATATGTGCAACTTATGTGCAAATGAATGTTCAATAGTCGTTCTAATAAAACATGCCTGTTTGTAGAAAACATGCGTGTGTGCGTGCAGGTGGTGTGGTGGTGGTGGGGAGGGGGCGCTCAAAGGGGACCTCGCCCGGGGAGTAATTCCATGTAGAACCGCCACTGGGCGTTGCGATCACAAAATAGTTTATTTGCTAAATAAGTCACAGTATAAACAATAAGTACAGTAACTTTGAAGATGCTCCCGTGAATGGGGAAACAATTTTTGACGGGGGTAACTACTTTGGCACAACACCGGGAACGCGCAAATGAAGGGCGCAAGGGTGCAAGTGCAAGTATTGGGATTGGGCCCGAGTCTGTCGAATATCCAACGTCAAACTAACTCCACCGAGGTCCAGAAGGCGAATAGATGAACACGTGTTAAAAACTGTAACTTATTTGTCCTCTGAAACATCTCTTTGATGAAGCATGCGGATAAGAAACGTGTTTGTTGTATATTTTAAAGTAGTCTCGTCACTCAAAAGTTTGCTTCGTGTGTATATGTACAGTCTATGGTGCTGCTGTGTGGAACGGTGCGCGTCCCCGCGACAAGGCACGCTCCTCTCGTCAGGGAAGCTTTTCTCGGCACAACATCCCGCCATGTTTACCACAAGTAACCAAATCGTAATTACTCACCTTCTGGTAGTCCCGCCTGAACTGCTGCCCAGACACGTAGCGAACATGAAGTTTGTAGTCATGCAGGAAGATATTATCAGTTGTGAAGCAGCTACACAGATAAAACTGAGGTTCCCTGTCTGTCTCGGTCATCTTTTACCATAAATGCTCAAACATAACACACACAAAAAAGCATTTCCGGTGTCTGAGTTCCCCTATCGAGATGCATACCACGCCATGGAGTCAAGTAAAAAAGGTAAACCATAAACGTGGACGGTCCTCCAGCAAATCAAACACGTCAAAAAGAGCGTGCTCAGTGCACAACTGTACACTTGTCCCATCACCCTACCAGTATATCTACGGAAGCCGTGAAAGTAAAAAATAAATAAATAAATAAATAAATAAAGGTCTGGTTCATTTTCTTGATTTCATGTTAGTTAATTGTAAATTCAAAAGACGTTTTTGTGCCGTGATACTGTAGACCCTACCAACTGCTGTATTTTCAGATTGCAATAAAAAGTGTAAAAGTTAAATATGTTTGCAGGAATGGACAACTGTGGAAGCCAATCTCTGCCACACTGTCCAAAACAAATTACCCCTGTATCATACGGGTGAAATATGTTTCTTTACATGTCTTCTAAAACTCATAAGATTGAACATTCTGTCATCGAGCTTGTTCAGTGACTGCTGGAGATAGGCACCAGCCTGTTTCAGTGAACTGAAGGTTGCCCCCCCCCCCCCCCCCCCCCCCCCAAACTCAGTGATGCGCCTGCATTCTCTCGGAGTTCCTGCTGCTCTAAACATTAAAATAATCATTTCATTTTCTGTTCCTCACTTCTGACTACGAAAATAATTTGTCTGTTTGTTGCAACCACCAGGTACAAAATCGAACTTGTTTTTTATTTTACTATTTTTCTGTCTTGTCTGTTTATTATCTTCCTGCATTTCCTCTCAATCCTGAAGAAAAAAGGCTACCTGGCTTCATATACATTCACCTCATGAGTTACCTTTGAACTGCAGTTCTAAAAGATCTACCGTCCACAAAAATAGTGGAGTGCGCGCTGCGCGCCGGCCACACCGGTTTGGTGAAGTCACCGTAGGATGAAACAGGTGATGTGCTTGTTCCGCAGCAGCGAAACAAATAAAAGATAGAAAACATGAAAGGATATGAGCCAACATAAACGATTGTGTGTTAAATTTGTTTTTGAGGTGGCGACATTTTGATAATGTTACTGCGGCCGTGCTCAGGACGCATCTGTCTGGAGTGCATCAACGATCAGAGCTTTGCACCTCTCCGCTCAAAATAATCCCTAGAGAGTCCACATAAATAATTTAATATAAGCAGTACCAGGATCGTTTTCAGGCTTAAAAATAGTCTACGGTCCATCTTCCCTAATGTGTTTGTGGCCCTTCGGATTTTTCTAACTCTACCAGTTACAAATTGTGAAGGGGAACGATCATTTTCACAAATGGCAATAATAGAAAATGAACTGAGAACAACACTAACTCAACAGCGCCTCAGTGCACTGTCACTGATGGCTATTGAATCTCAGCTTGTCAGGAATCTGGACTTTGATGACATTGCAAATTAATTCACTAATAGAAAGACCAGAAAGCATTTTTTCTGAAGGCAATGGAGGAGACCAACAAGAGGAAACAAAAAGAAGAGGAAGGAGCCAGGAGTCAAGAGGAGGAAGGAGACAAGAGACAAGAGGAGGAAGGAAACAGGAGACAAGAGGACAAATGAGACAGGAGACAAGAGGAGGATGGAGACAGGAGATGAGGAGGAAGGAGACAGGACACAAGAGGAGGAATGAGACAGGAGACAAGAGGAGGAAGGAAACAGGAGTCAAAAGGAAGGAAGGAGACAGGAGACAAGAGGAGGAAGGAAACAGGAGTCAAGAGGAGGAAGGAGACAGGAGACAAGAGGAGGGAGGAAACAGGAGACAAGAGGACAAATGAGACAGGAGACAAGAGGAGGAAGGAAACAGGAGTCAAGAGGAGGAAGGAGACAGGAGACAAGAGTAAGAAGGAGACAGGAGACAAGAGTAAGAAGGAGACAGGAGACAAGAGGAGGAAGGAGACAGGAGACAAGAGGATGAAGGAAACATGAGTCAAGAGGAAGAAGAAGACAGGAGACAAGAGGAGGGAGGAAACAGGAGACAAGAGGACTAATGAGACAGGAGACAAGATGAGGAAGGAGACAGGAGACAAGAGACAAGAGGAGGAGGGAAACAGGAGTCAAGAGGAAGAAGGAGATAGGAGACAAGAGGAGGAAGAAAATAGGAGACAAGAGGACTAATGAGACAGGAGACAAGAGGAGGAATGAGACAGGAGACAAGAGGAGGAAGGAAACAGGAGTCAAGAGGAGGAAGGAGACGGGAGACAAGAGGAGGAAGGAGACAGGAGACAAGAGGAGGAATGAGACAGGAGACAAGAGGTGGAAGGAGACAGGAGACAAGAGGAGGAAGGAAATAGGAGTCAAGAGGCGGAAGGAGACAGGAGACAAGGGGAGGCATGAGACAGGAGACAAGGGAAGAAATGGGACAGGACAAGAGGAGGAAGGAAAAAGGAGTCAAGAGGAGGAAGGAGACAGGAGACAAACAAAAAACATGCAGATATTTCTTCTTTGCAAACTTTTCAATAACTGTATAATCTTTTAAATAACCCTGAGTTACTTTCTGTTGTAGTGTGACAGTGGGATCTCTTTTACAACAGACTCTTGCCCCCACTGTCCCACAGATTGGAAACATTTTTGTTAGTACAGACAGAAGAGAAGACAGGAGCGTTGTGAGGAAGAGAGAGACAGATAACGAGGAGAAAAGAGAAAGGACAGAGGAAGAAAGACATATAAGTGAGGCACAACAGGAAAATCATCAGGTGTGAGTGTTTGTGATTTGGTTACAAAGCTATTTTGACCCAGAGGTAAATGCTTTTGTATCAACATAAGTAAGCAATTTTTAATATTCACAATGTTATGAAATGTCTAAAAAGTGCTACTGGGTGACAGTAGTGTTGAGGGAGGCCGGGTGGGGTGGGGTTGGGTGTGTGTGTGTGTGCCTCCTCCACTTGAGGCAAGAACTCATCCCTGACCCCGAGTAGGCATTCCACCATTTTCCGACACAAAATCATGGTCTCGGATTTAGAGTACTACCACTCAGCAGCAATCCAGGCCTTTATGTCTTTTGCCCGGGTGAGACGCTTTTGATCCTCTCGCTTGTTCAAGAGCGGCTTAACAAATGGAATGCGACAGCTGAAACCCAGGTCTTGCATATGTCTGTGTGTGTGGTGGTTCTTGCTAGCCTGGCCTGCCAGACTCGTCCTCTGTTTAATTCTGCACAGAGAAAGAGTCTGGTAACTCACAGGCAGAGAGGCACTTGAGGGGCGGGACTAGGCAGCTCAAAAATAACCAATCAAAAAAAAAGATGAAAATGCAGACTGTACCACGTGACACTGTAGTTTTTTAGCTGTAGTCAAAAAAGGCATCTGGCAATGGTGTAAACATCTTTTTTTTTAAGAAGAAATGCTTTTGGCACTTCTACTTATTGTCGTTTTAAAGACATTCAAGTCATTTAGAACAGAGGAAAGAGCCGCAGCAAACTCCGCCGCTTTTTGTTGTTTGTGAGAAACTGAGCGTCACTGTGTGTGACGTCTGTGACACCGTAGTTTTTTAGCTGTAGTCAAAAATAGCGTCTGGCGACTGCGCAAACATCTTTCTTTAGAAGAAAGGCTTTTGGCGCTTCTACTTGTTGTGGTTTTAAAGACATGTTCAAGTCCTTTAGAACAAAGGAAAGAGCCACAATGAACTTCACTTCAGTCGCCATGTTTATGACAAAGTCGGCGTTATGGTGTGTGACAAATGCTACTCAGCACTGGTTGGCTTGGTTAGGATTCTCAGGGGGTGGGGTTGTTTGAATAGTAGAGTTCCCAGACCCTTTCTCTGTGCAGAATTAAACAGAGGAGGAGTCTCGTAGGCCAGGCTAGGTTCTTGCAGCACTGACTCTAGCTGCATTCTACTCTTGTTGTAAAGAGGCTTAATTTAAACAGTTGCTTCTCTGGATATAATCATGTTGCATTGTTGCTACTGTGTTTTTCTCTATATATAGCTTTAGCTTTTTTTCAGCCTTTTTATTTAGTGTCAGAGTTGAGGTAGAAAACGTGGATTTTATCATAAGGATGGTATTTTGGCATCTCTTGGTGGTGATAGGTGGTTAGTGCACCTAACATCTATCTACAGATGGCATAAATGTGGCCCACCAAAAAAAATCATCAGCCACAACTGCAGTGTACACTCACTGGCCACTTTTTTGGGTATACCTTGGTAGAACCGATTTGAACCCCCTTTTGTCTTCAGAACTGCCTTATTCCTTTGTTGCATAATTTTAACAAGGTGCTGGAAACATTAAGAGCTCAGGAGGTTGAGCTGATTGTCCAGCAATCGGAAGGTTGCAGGTTCAATCCCAGCTCGGGACAGAGTCCTGAGTTCTGTGTCCTTGGACAAGAAATTTAACCCACCTTGCCTGCTGGCGGTGGTCGGAAGAACCAGTGGCATCTGTGCTCAGAAGCATTGCCTCTGTCAGTGTGCCCCAGGGCAGCTATGGCCACATTGTAGCTCATCACCACCAGGGTGTGAATGGATGAAATATACACTGTAGTGTAAAGCGCTTTGGAGTCCTCTAACTCTAAAAGGTGCTATACAAGTGACGGTCATTAATCCTCAGAGATTTTGGTCCATACTTTTTCCACTTTGGTACATGTTATGGCCACCAGCCCATGGCCTCTTCAGGTGCAGGAGCCAGGATCACCCAGCCCAAGTGATCAGCCCGACACCGCCCCTCCTCCTCCTCTCCTCCAGGCTGCTGAGGAGCACAGCTGAGCTGAATCCCTCTGATGACCTACACCTGGGATAAAAAGGCTGTGCCTCCAGCAGTCTGAGAGGCAGCAGTGCAGGGGTTCTGCTGTCCTCCAGGCCACATTTTGTTTCAACCCCTTCGTTTTTGATGAGTTTTAACTGCTAAAGTTTTAACTCTGAGTGATCTCAAGGGATCTTTGTTTGATGTCAGTTTGGTTGACTCGGTTATAAAGTTAACATCGTAGTTTACCGACTTCAAGATTTTAAAACACTCAGTGTTTTTGTAGTACGTTGATTTTTATTACATTGTGTTTTTTAAAACACCTTCTGTTTCAGTAAAACTTTTAACAAAGTTTTAATCAGGTGTTTTAATGTTGATAATTTGTCCTTTAAATATTAACCTTTTAGTCTTGGTTTTAGTTTGGCATTATATTAATAATGCTCACCAACTGTTTGCACTTGTTTATAGAACCTTTTATAACAATTAAACCTATTTTAAACCCACTATCATGTTTCTTATGTTACCCCCTCCTTCACATTTTAACACCTCCTGTCGGGGGTGTAACAGTACATAACAGCATCATGCAGTTGCTGCAGATTTGTCTGCTGCACATCCATGATGCAAATCTCCCGTTCCACCACATCCCGAAGGTGATCTATTGGACTGAGATCTGGTGACTGTGGACTGTGGAGTACAGTGACCTCATTGTCATTTTAAACTAAACCAGTCAGAGATAATATGAGCTTTATGACATGGTGCTGCTGCTGGAAGTAGCCATCAGAAGATGTGGCCAGCAACAATACTCAGGTAGGCTGTGGCGTTGCAACGATGATCAATTAGTATTAAGGGACCCAAAGTGTGCCAAGAAAATGTACATTTTCGTACACAGAACTGCCGCTCACTGGCTGTTTTCTCTTTTTCTGACCTTTCTCTGTGGTCCCTAGAGATGGTTGTGCGTGACAATCCCAGAAGATCAGCAGTGTCTGAAATACTCAGACCAGCTGGTTTGTTACCATGACACTTTCAAACTCACTTAAATCACCTTTGTTCTCCATTCTGAAGCTCGGTTTGAACTTCAGCGGATCGTCTTGACCACGTCAACAGTAAGTAAAGTAAGTAAAGTTTATTTATATAGCGCCTTTCACAGATATAAATCACAAAGCGCTGTACAACATGATAAAGATCAGGGCAAATACCTCTAACCAATAAAAACATCAGAAAAACAATAGCAGTGATAAAGTAGAAAATAAAATCATGAGTATAAACAAAGTGAAGGTGTGAACCCAAACAAAGCCATCTTATAGAACATTTAGGGAGGGAACGCCTGGATGAAAAGGTGAGTTTTTAGATGATTTTTAAAGACCTCTACAGTGTTAGAGAGACGGAGATTTGAAGGTAGACTGTTCCAAAGTCTGGGGGCAATAGTCTGAAAGGCCCTGTCCCCTTTGGTTTTCAGTCTGGTTCGAGGAACAGCCAGGAGGTTTTCAGATGTGGATCTAAGGTTCCGAGAGGTGATGTGTGGGGATAAAAGCTCAGATAGGTAGCTTGGAGCCTGGTTGTTAAGAGCTCTATAGGTCAGGACTAAAACTTTAAACTGAATTCTATATTCTACCGGGAGCCAGTGGAGGGACTGTAAAACTGGAGTGATGTGAGCTCGTCTGCTGGATTTGGTTAGGAGTCTGGCTGCTGCATTTTGGATGGCTTGAAGGCGTGAGAGGGAGGTTTTGCTGAGACCAGTAAAAAAAGCGTTACAGTAGTCTAAGCGTGATGACACAAAGGCATGGATTATTTTTTCCAGATCTGCAGTAGAAACCAGTTTACGGACTTTCGAAATGTTTCTCATTTGAAAGAAACAAGAGCAGGAGATAGTTTTGACGTGTGAGTCTAAACTTAAAGCTGGATCAAAAATAACTCCCAGGTTTCTAATGTTGGCCTTGGCTGATGGGCAAAAACAGGCCTAAATGCATTGAGTTGCCACCATGTGATTGGCTGATAAGGAGTTTGCGTTAACGAGCCGTTGGAGTAGCGGTGTACCCAATAAAGTGGTCAGTGAGTTCTTCTAAACGCAGACACGAGCTGGACCTGTGTGTGGGGCGTTTGGCAGACAGGGGGTGCTACAAGAAAGAAGCGCTCCATCCATCCAAGCCACGTACAGGAGGAGGAAGAAGAAGTCACACTGGGTTCGAGCTTGTTTTCCTGTCGTTACCGCTGACTTGAGTTTGTTTCCTTCGTTAGCGCCAGGGTCTGCTCTGCTGCTTACTATGCCGACGGGTAGTCGGTATACTTCAGAGTCTCTGTCCGGCATGTTTAGTGTGGACTCGTTACAAGTAGCCGAGGAGGAGGTGGTTGAATCCAGCTCCAATAAACTCGGAGATATTTACACGTTCGTGGCTAAAGGCTGTTTCCCTCAGACCATGAGTCCTTTACAGAAGAAGAATCTGAAACGATACGCCCAGAAGTTTATCATCGATGGTGAGTCGGAACCTGCCTGAACGTGTCAGCAGTAGCTGTGTATTTGTGAGTGCTGAAACTTCCGACAGTTCTGAACGCAGCAGTGGGCATCTGTTCCAGAGGGAAAGCTGTACTATGTGGGACCCAAGAAGGATGAGAAAAGGGAGGTGGTGATCGAAGCTGAGAGGAAGAGGCAGATTTTCCTGGACTGCCACTTCAACGACATCGGGCATCACCTGGGCCAGAAGAAGACCGTCCACCGGATCCAGAGCAGCTACTACTGGCTGGGGATCATCAAGGACGTGGTGGACTGGGTACACGGGTTTCCTCTGATCTGATGAATCAGCAAGCTTCAGTTTAGACTGCCTGGGATCTGCAGGGATCAGTTACCTAGTGTGGATCACAACGGTGTGATAAAAGATGCACCGATATGAAAATGTGGGCTGA